CTACCGTTGACGACCCGAACACGACTGAAGCTGCAGAGTGTTGTCCTCAGTTTTGAACTTCACGGACCACTTCTCAGGATTTTCTTCTTTACTGTTGTTATCGCCCCGAGCCAACTCCACTAAATCTTGCTCGCCGCTTCATTAGTATTTTCCAGTACGCCCCATTTTTACATCAGTAGCAAGCGGATTTGTTCCCAAGACAGCCCCATCTCAAAGTAAGTATAAGCCATTTGTGTACTAAAATGTCCCCAAGAAATTGCGCATTCAGATGATACCAAAATTTTGCGGTTCTAATTATTCTGTTAGAAAAATTCGCTCTTTATTATTTAGCACGAAAACTTGTGTAACGACCTAATATATGAAATGCCACTAAAAATTATCATGCGTAGCGCACAGACGCTTACGAACCAAATCGAACTAACGAAATGCCTGCCCATCTAGACACAATGTGTTATTTGGTCAGCGTTCAAATTAATGGATAGCCGGTCTTAGAAGCTGATGTGAAACTGTAGATTCTAGTATAGATCGCAGAAGACCCTCGCTTTTTTACATGAGCGAAATGATAATCTACGTCATAGCCGACGTCGTACTGGGATGCACTGGTCGGAGTCATCTCGAACCACTTTACATTGGCACTAGGCACATCAAAGAATAGCTTTATTTGTAATGTTGATGATTGTTGTAAAATGAATTCAATAATAATTCGTAGCCGTCGAGGCATGTGATCCGAATCAAACAAAGTTTTGCAGAATAAGTAGTGCTGAACTCTAAAGCAGGCCCGTTCTAGCTGGCTGTAATCATTTATGACCTTAATTGCCTGCTACTTTTTCCACCAACATCGCTGAAAACTATTCAGATTTCATTTTGAGTTTGATGATAACTTTCGTTTATTTCGATAGCTGTAGTTCGGAGGGAGCTACAAACTTGGCGAGCATGTAATGAGCTGTAATGTGTGGCACAGTGGATAGAAGTACTCTGGGGCAAACACGTGGTTTACTGCTCTATTCCGCTCTCAAGGCTCACCAAGCCTTGAACCCTCCGAAGTTGGCGAATTGTTTGAGAACTTGGAGTGTAGCAGCACTGACTTGATACATCGGTAGGCCACTACGCGTTATTGTAAAGGCCAGATTGCATCAAATCATCTTAGACGTAGCCAGATGAGATTTAGTGCATGAAGTATCTTTGTGAGATCGGTGAACGTGAAAAGCTTCATTTATACGTTCTTTGATTCAGCAGACGATTAAAAAGTTCACATTGATCTGTTTCACAAATCAGTCATTTACCTTAGAGCTAATTGAATGCATATCCGGCCTTCACAATGATTCGTAGTGGCCTACCGATATATCGAGTCAGTGCTGCTAGCCATAGGTCTTATTATTCAACAGCTTTAGCGCTGGTATGATTTTACATTCATATATCCAATGATGTTGAGTGATGTGCAAAGCTCCGGATATCATCTGGAATTTGGGCCCGCATTCCACCCTTTCGAGTGCGCTTGCTACCGCACCACTGACGCTTTTCTTCTGCCACGGTTTTTTGCAACACAACGCATCGGTCGGGATTTGTCATAAGCCGGTGCGTTCAACCGTTAAAATGTGATCGCAGAACAGGGGCGCTCGTAGTGCGGTGGTTAGCATACCCTTGCGGAATGGGTGAAGTGGGGTTCGAACCCCGTTCGACGCTCAAAATTTTCCGTATTACTCAAAATTACTAGATATAGTGCTACTAACCTTCCAGACAAGATCTGGTTCCAACTAACAATCGCGATAGTATGGAAGGCTTAGTGATCCTTGAGCGCAGAGTTGAATTATCACGCGTTTGCCGATCTCTAATCACTACGCCACACGCGCTCTTGCAGAAAACTATATTTTCACAAAATTTATTTTCATAACGTTGCTCAACTACGAGAGGAATGCCAAAGAATAAGAGGGAACCTTACAATCAACAGATGAGGCGACAATTTTCAGACACCATATCAGACGCTAAAGAATTTTTTCTCTCACTACGAAAAGAAGGATGTCGGGCACCTCTCCATCACATTTAGTGGCTGGCAGAAGAACAGCTGAGATCACATGTATGACCTGTCGTCCCGTTCATCGTCGAGTGACTCGACCGGGTACCAGCAATTCTTCCATTTTTCCCTGTCACGTGCAAGAGTAGCCCAGTGGGTCCTCCTCGCTCTAGGGATTCGCTGAGCATTATATAGTTTTTCTACACCTTTCGTGAAAAAAATGGACCAAAGGGTAGTGGTCTTCCTGTAGAGTATTTCATGTCCCGAGGAATCCAGTCGGTACGGCTCTCGTCCATTGGTTGTCGTTGAAGCGCATCACGTGTCCGGCCCACCTTATTTTCGATAACCTGGCGTGTAGAACGGCGTCTCTAATTTTCGATCGCTGACGTTGGTCGAAACTTCTCTCATTTGCAGGATATGGTAAATTTCTAGCATCGACCTTTCGACTGCGCGTTCAATAACGCCAAGTGATCTTTCATCCTGCTTACGTAGCGACCAGGTTTCTGCTGCATACGTCAGGGCAGGGATAATTGTCGAGTCGAAAAGGTGGGCACGGAGTCGGATGTTCTTTGTCCTCTTCACTACATCTTCAATGCTCTTAAGCGTTCCCCAAGCCGCTCGTTTCCTCCTGCTCAACTCTGGAGCTAGTTCGTTCATCATGTTGATTCACGACCTAGATAGACGTAACTGGAGCATTCGGAGATTGTCGTTCCGTTGAGCGTGAATGGGGCATTTGAAACCCATCCGTTCCTCATGAACATCGTTTTCGTTAGACTTAGCTGAAGACCAATCTTTCCACAAGCGTTTCGAAATCGGTCAACATTCGTTCTGCTTGGGTGATGCTTGGTGTTATAGGACTATAATCAGCAAAGCGAGGATGGTTCAATTGTCGACCGTCAACTTTCACTCCCATATCGTCCCATTCTAATGTTCGCATGACGTTTTATAGAGGTGGCAGTGAATGATTTGGCAGAATTGTATCGCCTTGTCGAACCCCTTCTTACGTCAATGGTGACATTTTTGTAGAATGGAGATATTTTGGTCGTGAAAGTCTTTATATAGTTCACGAAGGATCATTATGTACCGACTCGGGAAGCTCTGGTTATGCAGAGCCTATACAGCCGCTTCTGTTTTCAGTGAATCAAAGGCATTCTTCAGATCGACGAAAGTGAGATAGAGTGGTTGTTTGTGTTCTCGTGAAACTGCAGTGAGTCTTGTGATCGTGTGGATGTGCTCTATGGTACTAAACCTTTTCGGAACCCTGCCTGTTCGCATGGCTGTCTTGGTCCAGTGCTCTGTCAGTCCTGTTTACGATGACTCGAGTGAAGAGTTTATAGACAACGGACAGCAAGCAGATTGGGCGATAATTGCCTTTGTCGTGAAGGTCTCCTTTTTTGAACAACAATACGGTCTTGCTAGTTTTCTACTGAATAGGAACCTTGCATTCTGACAGGTAGCAAGTGAAGAACCGAGCCAGGATGTTGATGAGAACTGGCGGCAGGTTCTTTAGGTGTTCTGGTGTAAACCTGTCTGGACCGGGTGTTGTTCTATTCTTCACCGACGATATAAGCATGTTGGATTTTGGAAGGGAAGACCGGTGGAACGACATATTCATCCTCTTTTAATTTATATGACGGTGAGAGGACATGGCTAGCGAAGAGATCCGAATAATACTGGTGGATGATTTTCCCATTGCCCTTCTGTCCCGTCAGGGCATCGGAGTGCAATCATCTTGGTCTTTTAATTGGCGAAACCTCGCTGGGCTATGCGAATGCTCTTCCCAGCTTCTACAGCTTTTACCACAACTGCATCTCGTCTCTCTTTAAGGTTTTCCATTATCGCGTCTCTGCAGCGTTTCTCAAGATCGAACGTAGGGTTTCGGTTGCCTGTAGCTCGTGCGCTTTCACGTTGACGTATCAGCTCGAGTGTCTGCGGATACAAGCGTTTCTTCGTCTTCAAGCGTGACTTTAGTACTCTCGGATTTCACAGTGCCAATGTGAAGATATTCAACGAGGCGATCGTATTCTTCATCGATTGTCGCCGCAGTATCTTCCCAGGAGCCGACTAATGACTTACATATATATTAATTTATGGTAGTTCTGGGACTTCGTTATTTGAATTAAGCGGCTTTCTCTTTTTCGCAAAAAACGGAATGATGCGCGAAGGACACGATGGTGTGATCCCGTGTAGAACCTTTGAACAACAGCGACATCGGTCAGGCAGAACATTCGATACTAAGATGTGGTCTTAACGGCCGAGACACACGTCGACTTATCTGTCATTCGCAGACCTTGCACCCACGCATCCTGTCTACGTATTTTCTTAGATAATCTTTCTAAATCTTCTCATTGCGAAGTACTCCATTTTCACAAGAGATTAATAGATGTTTGATGTTACTAGTGCCCTTGTTTTTCTAATTTCGAAGTTTTTAACATACCAGCATATAAACTATCGTCTACCATTTCTTAATTTTTGAGCTAATTAATCTTTTGCATGGTGATTGGTTATAGCTAAGGTATAGAGGCAGGGTTTGTTTCGTTCCCATATAACAAATCGTCAGTATGGGGACGCGTATGGCGCTGTGGTCACAAATGCCCTACTACTCACACGAGCTCAATGTATCTATGCCGCGAAGGAAGCCTTCTTCGTCCCGCCAGGGTCGGTAGATTGGCACCATATAAATGTGAGTGGATGGCAGCACTGGTTTGATACATTGATAGGCCACCGCGACTTATTGTACAGAATAAATTGAGTACTCAATCACCTCAAACATTCCCGTTGCCGTCGATTACCATAGAATCGCTAACGCTGCAATCTGAAAAGCCTCTATCTTTATGTTAGAAGAATGATGATGCTTGATGCAAAGTTGGCCTCCAATCTGCGCCAGATGGGATATACTACTCCGAAAATCTAGTATTTTACTGCTTTTTTTCGCAGTGTTATGATGATACTTATATACCTAAGAGAATTGAGTGGTGAGCAAAAACACGGCCTCAAACGGGAATCGAACCCGCTCATCATCCTATCCGGGGGCGCGTGCTCTACCACTACACCATCGAGGCACATCTGCCCAACTACTCATTCTTCAACATCTCTATGTGAGCTATCAGGCACAAACCCGTACAGGTTTGGTAGGGTATGCGATTTCGTTTCATAAACCCAGTTGAGCTGACATCCACTGTTAGAATAATACTCCGAAATTCAGCACTCATTTTCCCTAGGTATGTAAGTAACATCATAACACTGCGGAAACTAGCAGTAAAAATACTAGAGTTTCGGAGTATTATATTAACCGTGGATGTCAGCTCAACCGCGTTTATTAAACGAAATCGCTTGCCCATCCAAACCTGTTAAAGGTTGGTGGCTGATAGCTAACATAGAGATGTTGAAGAGTGAATGGTCGGGCAAATGTGTCTCGGTGGTGTGGAGATAGAGCGCGCGTCTCTGGGTAGGATGGAAACGAGGGTTCGATTCCCGCATGAGGTTGTATTTTTGCTCTCCCACTCATTTCTCTTAGGTGTACCACATGGGGTACTTGTACTTGTGGAAACCTATGCGATTTCTGTCCTTTTATCAGGTTGGTTAGAACAGTGTTGCAGTTGACCTTGTTTTACCTAAATAATAATTACTCTTGGCTTTCAAGAGAGATGTTTTATTGTCTGCACCGACAGGAAGTGGTTAAAACGGCCGCCATACCTAGTACCGGCTATGGAATTCATCATCCGCCACAGGAATGTGTCGAGAGGGCATGTTTTACCTTGTATAAACGGTAAGCCAGTGGTTATAAAAGCCATTCATAAGATCAGTTCTTTTTACTTTATAAAGTAGTACTCTTTTCCAGGCATGAAAATATGTATATCATCTGGTTTAGAAAGGCGAATAGTCGATTCGTTTTAGATTGGACATAACAAAAAGGCCACTTGTCTCACACGTTCAGGGCGACATTTACGATGGCAAGATGTCCGGCCAAAATTCTGAAGGTGTAATTAAGTATCAATCAAAACCATTGAAGTTCAAGAATCTTTGAAAAATCGCGGCATATGTTGTAGCTCGGTGCACTGGTGTCACACGTTCAGGGCGACATGTACGATGGCAAGATGTCGGCCAAATCCTGAAGGTGTAATTAAGTATCAATCTAAAACCATTAATTTCAAGAATCTTTGGAAAATCGCGGCATATGTTGTAGCTCGATGCAGTGAGCGTCAGTTCAACTTGTTTTCCGGAGTTCCACAAATGGACACGAAGAACTTGAACGGAAACGAGATTGTTGTTGCCACTTGAGCTGGCGTGTTTGCAACTCTCAACAATAGAAAGGTCGGCCCATCCTATCTGCTACTCTAAATTTCTAGTAGCACAAAAACTTCAGTCAAAACTATCAGTGCTATTGCAGTGGTGTTATGTTACATTTATACATATCTATATGTTTATTTATTATGTGTACATATACGCATATACACTCATGTATATATATATATGTATATATATATGTATATATATGTATACATTACGATCGATGACACCGAAGAAAGTCAGGGTTTGGGTCTCAAAAGATTGCTGACAAAACTAGCTTCAAAGCTTGGCATTCTCTCTATATAATTACTGCCTATTTGCTCGCCTAAGGTATTCTGTTGTCATTTGCTCTTCGATATTGTTATTAAACGTGATATCAGAATTTCTTTTCATTCTTCCTACTCGGTTGTATATAGTAAAAATGCTAGAGCTTATGGATCTATATCGTATTATCCTCTTTGGTACTTATTACAATCCATTTATTCCATGAAAGTATGATTGCTTACTAAACTGGCGTTTCTCCTCACATACATGCGCACATATACTTCAGAAGCCTAGCTCATAGAAAAAAATTTATGTATCAAAGTGAAACGAGAAACCCAAAAATTCTCCCAAGAGGTTTAAAGAGCCCTTTATTGAATTACAAAAATTGTGCACCCACCTACCATTTTTGCTGTACATAGCACTTGCCGTCCAGAATGAGTTTAAAAGAGAAACAAAATTTGACTGTATGAATAGAAGATAGATGATAGATGCCAACTCAAACAGGTGCGAATGTGTCAAGTGTTTTGCTCATGCCTGCGTTCTACAGCGGCATCACCAGTGATGGAGATTATTCTATATTCTACATAAACACTTCTTTGCTCATTCATATCTTTCAAGACAGATTAACAACACCAATGGCATTTGTATGTCTGAATTTGGGCCCAGGATATCTGTGCCTTAGATGGACAAGCACAAAATTTTGTAGTATCTCTGGATAGGTGCCTATAATTGTTTTAGGGGATGATGCAAAGCGTCCGGCATGTAGCGTTAGTGGCCTTGCTACGGACACCGTTTAAAAACAATACAGGAACCCAGCATCTCCAGGTTGTCCAAATTTAATCAATACCGATGTCAATATGGTTGCATTTACTTACATTTGAGAGGAGGCAAAAAAACTCATTTGTCCGACTCAGGCTCGATATTCTGCTTCGATGACAAGACAGGATTTGAGTGGAACCCGAGACTCAGCTTCCACCATGTCCACAGCTCATAAATCGGAGAAAGTATGATAATCCTATTTCATTTCTAAAGTCACTGCATGAGACCCACGTGAGGTGATACCTCCACTATCGGAGCTCTCCTTTTTCTGTATTTTGTCTTGACACTTTTACTTATTACTACATAAAATTAGGAAAAGTCTTTGATTTGATAGCATCTTGAAATATTCTCTAACAAATGTTTGTCTGTGATGTCCGAAATATCGGCACTGCACATACATTTTACTAAGTGGTAATTAGTAGTAATCAGTATGTATTTCGCTTTAATTTACTTTATTCTGCTTTTCTATGACAACTCATGCTTTAGTCATATGCATAGCCTTAACCTTTACTTTCCCTAAAGTTGTGTGGATTATATGATGTATGACAAACTACAGCTTTCTTTTCAGTAATTTCCTCATGTGATTGTCGAAGCCACGTTTTTTTATTTTGCTTATCTCATTCCCTCTGTTGTACATCTTTCGAATTTCTTCTTCAGTAGAATTAAGTTTTTCAAACTCTGTGTATTCATTTTTGGAGTACTCGGTGTCAGTGTCAACACTGTCGAATGTTAGTTATTTGTTTTAACATTGTATAAATTTTTTCTTTGTTTATTTTTTATTCACAGCCTACTCTTTTTTCATCTTAGGGCACAATATCAAATGAAATCACAAGAATGTTGAGATACGAGCAAAACACGAAACTTCAGATGCACTCACAAGCCGCAATTATCCTTTTGGTGGCCTACGTGTAAGCCACCTAACCGTTGTGGTTTTTGTTTCTGCTATTCTCTTGACTAATTCACCCAGTTCTCAATCTGTAAACTTTTGCAATCTGTTAGTCAAATAAATATTTGATAGAGTCATTACTATATTGTTCTTCCATCATATCACTGAAAGAAAGAGGCACAACTATAATGCCATCTCTGAGAAGGAGTCCTCTCGAAAGATCGGCAGCAGTGGTTGAAATACCAACGCACACTTTAAGACACCAGATATTCCGTCCTTAACAGTAGGGAGGTAATTGCGTGAGATGAAAGTTGGTGTATCTGATCACATGTCGAGTGTGCGAGAAGGAATACATTGCTATACGGATAGGCCATTCTGAACTGTTGAAAGAATCTCTAATCGGAAAATCTGAGGTTGACTCATGTGCCAATAAGCACGCATAGGGCACAGGCACATAGCGAGGAAGAGTTTGAAAAAGAAATCATCGTCTTCTTTAAGGAATCTAAAGCATTAGTGCGTAAAGCGATTGAAACTTTCTGCGTAAACTGATGACTAACGTTTCGGCGTTTGTTCTTCTTCAGAGCCGTAGTAATTCAAGTGCACGTATATAGCCGCTTGTTCTTGCGACGTGGGTCGTCGTAGCCACATAAAGTCGAGTTCAGAAAAGTAAAGAGCCGAGAAAATAGAAATCCTTCACTCGACAATCGACGCATATCTGGTACTCTTTGGGAACCTGGAGCGATGGCTCGCATGGTTTGCGTCACTTTGTATTCCATTTCATACACTGTTTTGAATAATTATTCCGCTCGTGTTTTGATATTCATTTTGATAGAGCTGCACAGAAAAGGAAATTTAGTCAATCAAGGTTAAGTTTTCATACGAAGATCAAATATAAGGTCTTCTGGTAAGTTTTAGCATTAGAGCAATAAGCACCAAATTTTTCAAGCAGAAGTAATTAGAATTGCGCGACAACACTATCCAAAGTATGTGCCGTCGGCATGAACACATTTCTGCCATCTCTCAGGCAACAAATCAAAGCTGGTGGAAAATCTTCAGAGCTTTCTTGGTGCTAAATATGTTTTTAGTTGCCGCATCATGGTCGCTAAACGAAGCCTTACCGTAATATGCTGCTTGACGAGTTTTATAGTTAGCTTTCTACGTCACCAATGATGTGTTTAAATTAGCAAGATTTGGCATTAAATGTGGTTAGAATAGAACCTAGGTAGATCAGCAAACCCCAAAAAAACATTGTTATATGATTTAGGTGCTTTTATTCTTTGCGAATAAAAAGCCATCCGAATATAACATGATTGATTTTGGCAGAGCTCATTTGTGTTGATATTAGATTGCTCGGAAAGTCACTTATATCATGTTTGCTTTAATTTCTTGACAATACTTGTTTTTGTTTAGAACGTGAACAATTGCGTTATTTCTGTTTGTGTAAATGAGCGAAACACAAAGGATTGCAGAAAGGGATCGTGAGATCAACAATGATATTGACCATGAAATCTCCAACGATTTCACGATACTAGGTTTTTTGAGGAGCTTCAAAGGGTAAGAGCTTTGGAAATGAACAGCGCTGCTCCACTGCTAGTAACATCATGATGTTGCAATTAATCCATTTTCTCAGTAGTTTGAATAAGATAATTTCGGAGGCGCTCAGGGACGAATCATTATTCGTTTTCACGCCATTTTGATGCTAATAGATAGGCTAGAGGTCTGAGAGGTAAGATATCTCTTACCAATTTCCAAATATAAACATTGCTAATTTTTCGCAACTGGCCACGGATCACTGTTGAAAAT